ACTCTGGATTCGAAACAATAAAAATCAAAATATGGGTCGTTTGATTATCTAAGTCGATTGAATATTTTGTTTATATATCTTGACATAAAACAAAACTGATTCGCGATTATTTCACCTAGTGAGATCAAATATTTTTCATAATGAAAAGCAATAACAAAGTCGGATATTTTATTTTCTCGGACAACGAATCATTCTAAAAAGATAGCAAAAGATGAAAGGACTTTGAATCTTACCTCAGGATCCGATCTTGATATTCCACCAGCTGTCCAGCAAAAACGTCTGCCAAAATACGCAATAATTAACATGTAAAAATGACATCTGTTATAACCTATATATAGTGTCTTATTCTACAAAGAGAAGCCAGAATTTCTATCAACTGTAGCTTGTCCGGTGACCAACAGGGTAAAGACAACTGCCAGCGCATAAGACTTGCGTTTCTCTTCGAATTCCCTCAGTCACTGGCGGGGTAAAAGGACCCAGCCTTTAACATTGGATTCGAATAGTTCAAGATTTCATAAGTATCCTAGTTAATTTTTTATATATACCCTAATTTTAGAAAAAGAATCGTCAATATGTAGAAACTGGTTACACGAAGTAAACAATACAACAGGAAATTTCTTTTTTTAGCAAAAATTATTAAGAGAAGTTGAACTTTACCTCCGTGGCCGCCCTAGACATTTCCATTCGTTGATCCGCAAAACACCTGACAAAATAAATTCCTGTTAATATCCAAATACAACATATATACGGTCTCTAATTCTAAAACAACAACAACAATATCTATCAGCTGTCGCTTGTCCGGTGACCAGCAGGGTAAAGACAACTGCCAGCGCATAAGACTTGCGTTTCTCTGCGAATTCCCTCAGTCACTGGCCGGGTAAAGAACCTTGCCTGTGATTTTGGATTCGAGCAAGACTTCTCAAGTACATTTCTTATTTTATCGCTAAATACCTTAATTTTTAGAACAAACCCAAAGGTTTATAAATCTTCAATGTGTAAATACCGGATATACGCAATAACTATATAATATATATTTCATTTCTTTACACAGAAGATTAATATGAAAGGTTGATAGCAAGTGATGAAGAGATCTCGACACTCGAACCTTACCTCCACAGCCGTTTTAGAGATGCCACCCGTTGAACCGCAATTCACCTGACAAAATAAGTTCTTGTTAATAACCAAATATAACTAAAGAATGGTTTCATATATTACAAAAACAAAGAACATTTATCAACTGTCGCTTGTCCGGTGACCAGCAGGGTAAAGACAACTGCCAGCGCATAAGACTTGCGTTTCTCTGCGAATTCCCTCAGACACTGGCCGGGTAAAGAACCTTGCCTGTGATTTTGGATTCGAATAATTCAAGATTTCTGAAATACCATATTTTTAAAAGTACCTTAACTTTATAAAAAAAAAAAATCCAAAGGTTTATAAATCTTCTATGTGTTAATACTGGATATACGAAGTAAACTCTGCGACAGGATATTTTTTTAACACAGATTGTTAAGAAAGAGGTGGATAGTTTTAATGGAGAAGAGATTTCCACACTTGAACCTTACCTCCATAGCCGTTCTAGATATACCACCCGTTGAACAGCAAAACACCTGTCGAAATAAGTTCTTGTTAATAACAAATATAACTAATATGCGTTTCTCTGCGAATTCCCTAAGTCACTGGCGGGGTAAAAGGACCCAGCACTTGCCTTTGGATTCGAATAACCTAAAATTGCTTAAAGTACCACAATCGTTTGATTTTTCTTCCAAATATCATTATTAAAAAAAAGGTTAATCACCCAAATATGTAAATAAATATCATGATTTAAAAAAATCCAAAGGTTTATAACTTTCGAATATGTAAATACTGAATGTGAAAAACTAATAAGCGATAGTACATTTCATTTATTCAATTTCTTCAAACAAAGGCTAATATATGAGGCTGATACCAAGTAATGAAGAGGTTTCGATGCTCGAACCCTACCTCAATGGCTGTCCTTAGCATTCAACCCGCTGATTAGCAAAGACCTGAAAAAAAATAAGTTCTTGTTAATTATTAATAACCAAATACAACAAATAGATGTTTAGGTAAAAGACTCCACCTTTGACCTAGGATACGAACTAGTGATGTACGGAAAGAAAATTATTTTTCATGGATCTGTGGCATATTTGGGTGACATGTGGAGTTCGCATGTAGAAAAAAAAAGAATTTTGAAGGTACTACAATATTAGATATCATCTTAAGTCAATTTTATTACATTAACGCATATTTGAAGTGACAAATGTGAAAAAAATGTTCAATAATATAATGTAAATGCGATTTAACTACGCATGAATAATTTCTTTAAAATGTTATCCACTCCTATACATTTTGCCAATGAATAAAAAAGATAAAAAACGAAAATAAAAAATGAAACGAGAAATTTTCAATATATCCACACTTTTCGAGTCTTACCTTAATAGCCTGCGAATAAGTAGCACCCTGGACTACTAGCGATCAGCACCTGACAAAATAAAAGTCATTGAGCAAAAAGGGAAGACATTTATTGTATGTTCAAATTTCCTAAAAGGCGCGAAGCCAATGTCAGGTAGAGATGCTGTTCGTCACGTGACCAGAGGAGGAAGGACAAGTGACATAAGCTTCATACATACATACACTAACCCACGTACACACGCACACATATCCATTCACGGTCATACCTACATCTACACATCCGAGTACGTACATACACTCACTCACTCTCTCTCTCTCTCTCTCTCTCTCTCTCTCTCTCTCTCTCTCTCTCTCTCTCTCTCTCTCTCTCTCTCTCTCTCTCTCTCTCTCTCCTCTCTCCCTCTCTCCCTCTCTCCCTCTCTCCCTCCTCTCTCACACACACACACACACACACACACACACACACACACACACACACACACACACACACACACACACACACACACACACACACACGTGCACAGTGACAATGCATGTCGGCTGCCACATGACCAGCAGCGTAAAGGCAACCGCCAGCGCCTAAGGCATTCTTTTCTCTTCGAATTCTTAAACGCTGGCCGGGTGAAAGGGGAACCCAGCCCGCGAGTCTAGATTCGGATAAAGGAGCGTAAATATAACTCTAAATAAAGTTGGAGATTATAAGTTCGGTTAAATCGATCGATTGATGGTTCATTTTTCTTCTCTCACTCACTCTCTCTCTCTCTCTCTCTCGTCTGTGTCTCCTCTCCCTTTCTCCCTCTTCTTTCTCCCTACTCTCTCTCTCTCTCTCTCTCTCTCTCTCTCTCTCTCTCTCTCTCTCTCTCTCTCTCTCTCTTTCTCTTCTCTCTAATGCCGTAGAAAAGGGATGAATAGGAATGTATATTTTCACAATACAAGAGATATAGTTCACCGGTTTCGAATATACCTCCATCACAAATAATATATCTTCGTATTTCTGACGAAGATACATTCGAAACCGATCAAATACATCTCTTGTATTATGAAGACATCCATTCTCATTCATACCTTTTCTACATTTATCAATATGAATACGGATCATCTCTCTATGATTATATATATATATATAAATATATATGATATATATATATATATATATAATATATAATATATATATATTATATATATATATTATATATATATATATATATATATATATATATATATATATATATATATATATATATATATATATATATATATATATATATATATATATATATATATGTATATATATATATATATATATATATATATATATATATATATATATATATATATAAACAATATATATCAGGGTATTAATATATAATGTACACCCATGTATCTGTTCATGTACTGTTTCCTCCAGTGATTTAAGCAGCATAAGGACAGTGCCAACTAGCAATTTACTCTTTCAGTTTTCGGAACTATAAAGAGCAACTATAAGGGTGGAAATTGCAGCAACGAAACACAGCTATTTCTCCGCGACTGTTCAGCAATCAGTAAGCAATAGCAATGGTTAGAATATTGAATGCACTGCCTTGTTTCCAGGACTTAGCCAAGATCTTTCATAAAATCCAAACACATAATATACCTACTTAGAAAATAATACATACTGCTAATAAGTAATTAATTTAAAAATCCATAAAAATGGATAAATAGAATAAAATGACGCCCCCCCCCCCCCGACACAAATTCATGCATGAAAAGTTCGCCCCGACCTACAGGGGGTCTATGGCAGAAACGTAATTGAGAGAGATTGTGACTATAAAAACATTAACACAACTATTCATAAAATACGTTAAGTAACAAAATGCATATGGCATTAGTCTGATTTTTTTATTATTATTATTATTATTGTCTTTTTAAGCCACACCTCTCTCTCTTATGTAATAAGTTACTGGTTAATAGACTAAACAAATAAATGTAACAAACACCAAGGGCCATATAGCACTAAGTATACCTTACTCTATGGCTGGTTATTATCATTATTATATTTTTTAATGAAACATTAACCAACCGTATTTTTTCTCATTTCATCTTTAACTCACAACCTTCCGTTTTTATTTTACTTCAAATAACACTGATATCTTATAGCATCTTCTGGCAATTCATTTATGACAACCATATTCTTCTGATACAGTTTTTAGAAATTATTAATTAGAGTTCTTCAGTAATTATTTTCTCCAAAACCTTAATTGGAAACCAACCAAAAATTAACGAATTCTTGATCCCCTAATTTCTTCAAAACCTTAAATAGAAACCCAACTAAAAAGTTAATGCGTTCTTGATCAACAACCGTATATTTTTTTTTTTTTCTTAAGGATGTTGTTAAACAGTATTAGCCAACCACAGACCATCACTTACCTGAGGGGGCGGGGCTTGCAAACATTTCCTGTCAAGCCACTCCTGTCAATGTTAAAGTAAGACGGAGGAGATCAAGAAGGAGTTGATGATGATGAGGGAGATGAAGATGATGAAGATGAAGAAGGAGAAGGAGAAGAAAAAGAAGATGTAGACGATGAAGATGAAGAAGAAGAAGGTTAAGATGGAGAAGGGAAAGAAGAATAAGATGAAGAAGACGCAGACGAAGATGAAGAAGATGGAGAAGGAAAAAGAAGAAAAAGAAGATGAACAAGAAGATAAGGATGAGGAAAGAGAAAACGAACGAGGGGAAGGTGAAGAAGCAAATTTCAAATACGTAAACCCTTCTACCCCCCCCCTCCAACCCAAAAGAAAAACGAATGCATCAACGAATGCACCTTTAATAAAAGTAATAATTATCATAATTATTACTTTACAACGAAAATAATAACATAAAATATCATCATTATTTTCATTATCACCATTATTATAATTATCATTATTATTATTATCGTCATTATCATTGTCATTATATACATTACTACTATTTACATCATTATTATTATGCTTATTAGAGCTATTACTGTTATCATTATCATTATTGTATCGTTATTGTTGTTGCTTTTATCATTATCAAAATTGATATTGTTATCATCATCATCATCAAAACTGTTTTAGTTGTTTTTTATCATTGTTGTTATTTTATTTGTTGTTATTTATAGTTCATTTTCTTTTTACATTCATTATCATCATTTTTATTAACATTACAATTTTCATCTTCAATACCGACACAGTTTTCAATATATTATCTTTGTTTATACCATTACTATATTTATAATAATCTTTATCAAAACCATCATCATTATTCTCCTTATTAGTACCACTACCCTCACTAATATCATGATCATTATTATTGTGATCATTATCAGTATTATTATTTTATTATAATCATTATCATTATCATTATCATCATTACTATTATTACCATATCATCATGGTTATCATTACTATTCTTTTATCATAATCACTATCATCACTGACTATGATCCTATCATTATCTTAATTATTATTATGATTTGATTACGATCAATACCATTAATCATTACAAATATTAATTATCATTTCATCATCATCATTACCATTATAATTACTATCTTACTCTTAACATTATCATCATCTTTATCATTATTATCATTACTATTATTATTACATTATTATAATGTGTATAATAATAATCATAATTGTAATAAGTGATAATCATCAAAACAGTAATTAAACAATTATAACAACTATCACAAATATCATAATCATAATTTTATCAGTTTAAATAATAATAACCACAATAATAGCAACAGCAAAAACAACAACAATAAATGTAATAATAAAAATAAATATAACAATAACAATAATAATGACAATAACATAATAATAATGATATAACAATAACCATAGCAATAATGATAATGATAATAACAACAACAACAACAACAATCATAATGATGATAACAATAATAATAATAAAATAATTATAGTAACAGTGATAATTGTAATGATAACAATAATAATAATAATTATAATAGTAATAATAAGAAAAATAACAACAATAATAATCATTATTATCATCCCAATTATCATAATCATAATTAGTCATTATTATAAATAATACCAATAATAACAAAAAAACAATAATGATGATGATGATGATACAGACAATGACAGTATATAATGACATAGATAATGATAATGTCAATAATGATGATATTGATAATGATGATCATAATAATAGTTATAATAATATTGGCAATGATTATAATAATAACAATAATGTTAATGATGATAATATTAATACTAATAACAGTAATAATAACTATCTTTATCATCATCATTATTATTATCATATCATAATAATATCAAAATAATGATACATAAATAAATAAATACCAAAAACAACATAATATTTTTGTTATCATTATTTTTCATTATTACTACAGTCATTATCATTACCATTATTTTCATTATTTTCTCTGTCGTCATTCCTTTGGAGATTATAATTAGTTATAATTTTCCTTATCATCATCATTACTATGCAAATTACAAATCATTACTATTATTTCTTATATCGTTATTAGTCATTTTTACCACAATCATTATAATTAGTATAATTATCATTATTATTATTATCAATTTATTATTGTTATTATTATCACTATATTATCATTATTATTATTATTACCATCATTTTTATTATTATCATGATATTCATCATTATAATTACCATTGTTATCAATACTCTTATATTACTGTTATTATTATTTTGTTACTTAATTATTATCATTATTATCATCACCATCATTATCATCATCATCATTATCATTATTTGTTACTATTATTATCATGATCATCATTATTGTTATCTTTGTCATGATTATCATTATCATAATCATCATGATCATTATCCCATTTTCATTATGATTGTTGTTATTGTTATTTTTGTTATCATCATCATTAACATCATTATCATTACTATCAATATCATCATGATAACTATCATCATTATCATTATTATCAAAGTCATTATTACCATCACAATTATTATCATTATAACTATTGCCATTATAATTCTTATCATTATTATTGATGTTTCTGTTACTACTACCTTTAACAATTGCACCAACATTACGATGATCATTATCATTATCATTAAATGACAATAATAATGATAATGATTACAACATCATTAATAATAATAATATCTATTATTATTATTAATTATTATTATTATATTATTATTATTATTATTATTATTATTATTATTATTATTATTATTATTATTATTATTATTGTGATGATGAGGAGGAGGATGAAGATGATGATGATGATTATCATTATTATTACTACTACTACTACTGCTACTATTATAATAATAACAATAAAAAACAACTATAACAATAACAATGATAATTGGAGTAATGTAATATCAATAACAATAATAATAATTATAATAACAATAGTAGTAGTAGTAAATATTGATTTCAATAACAATAATGATAATTATAATAACAATAACAATGACAATAATGATAATAATAATGATGATGATGTACATAAAAAATGCTAATTTCAAAAATAATGATGATGATCATACCAGGACTACTGTTATGAGCAATAATTATGATAAAAATAATAAATCTCATAATAATGGTTCTAATAATGCATTACAACTATAATAACAATAATGATAATGATGATGATAACATAATAATCAATAATCATCATCATCATCATAATAATGAAAGCAATAACATTAATGATAATAATAACAATAATAACAATAAGATAATAATAAATAATAACAATATTAATAATAATAATGATAATGATAATGATAAAGTATAATAAAAATAATAATGATAATAGTAATAATAAAAATAATATAATGATAATAGTAATGATAATAGATAAAATATAATAACAAAAAAGATGATAATAAAAGTAATATCATAAGTAACAATAGTACTATTAATAATAACAATAAAAATAATAATAAAAATAACAATTAAAACAATAACAGATAACAATAAAACTGATAAATGTAACCAAATCATCATTATCAATAATATAGTTTTATCATCATAATTGTATACATATATCACAAATAAGATTGTAAAAATAACCATGATTGTTATATAATACAAAAAATTATAATAATGGTGCCAGTATTATCAATAAGCATACCAAATGAAAATGATAACAGTTAAGGAAAACAATGATGATAATAGGCATTGACAATGATAATGATAATGATAGCAAGTTAATAATAATTGATGATAATGATACTAATAGTAATACTAATACTAAATAAGGCAATATTACACAACAGCAACAACAACAACAAACAATAACAATAACAATACAATAAATAATAATATAATAATAATAATAATAATATATAATAATAATAAATAATAATAATAATAATAATAATAATAATAATAATAATAAATAATAATAATAATGATAATATAATAAAATGATATAATAATAATAATAATAATAATAATAAATAATAATAATATATAATAAATAATAATAATAATATATAATAATAATAATAATAATATAATAATATAATAATATATAATAATAATAACAATAACAATAACAATAATAATAATAATAATAATAATAATAATAATAATAATAATAATAATAATAATAATATAATAATAATAATAATAATAATAATAAATAATAATAATAATAATAATAATAATAATAATAATAATAATATAATAATAATAATAATAATGTTACCTAATCTTATAAATACTGCTATTAACATCAAAGATAATAATAAAACAAATAATTATAACAAGGATGACTGATAATGATGGTGATGAGAAATCATGATGATATTGCATGTAATACAAGTGAACTTTGATGTTTAATGACAGAGATGCCTAATAGATTGACTTTTCAGTTCAATTTATTTGAAATAAACAGCAGTTGGCAACCATTATAGTCATTTTTACAATGTGTAATTCATTGGATGGACAGACACACAAAATTTGTTCATAAAGCCAGAAAAAGTTTAGCAGTCTACTTGAAGATATATATATTCTATCCAGCTAGTGAATGAAACATTTAATTTTTATTATCATTATTATTTTAAAAATTCTTTTCATTACTATTCTCTCAAACTGCAGTTTTCTTTTTACTAGTTTACAATAACCAATGTGCCTTTTAGTGGCTTTGATAAGATATCAAAGAAACCAAGTTGGTATCTCAAGTAATCTCTCTTTTATTCAATGGGTAAGGCAGGTACAGGTGGAAATAACACCATGAGCGAAGAAACCCTGGGCAATCCATCTACGTAAAATGCCCAAACTGAGCCTATAGGGCAATTGGATGGAATGGGGTGTATCTGCTGTTGGGGAAGCTATAGTAACATTGCTTTTAGGAAAAACTGGTAAAGAGCTGTTATGAAATAATCAGCGGGTAATACGGGTGGAGATGGCTGTTGGAGAAGTAGCAGAAGAGTCTGAGGGATGAGATACGGGGACTAGGGAAGGTGGTGAAGTATCAGGAAGAGCATCAGGAGGGGAGGAATCTGAAGACAGACACTGTTGCAACAGAAGGGATTCACGTGAGTATCCACGTGGGAGAGGGAAGGATAATGGAGAACAAAAAAGGAATAGTGTACATGGAGGAAAGGATGGGGTTTGTTGGAAAAGAGTGGGAGGAACTTGTGAAGGAGGAGGATGGATATCGGCAACTACTTTTAATGTAGAGGGACTAGGAATAGAGGGATTGGAGGGTGGATGAGGGAGCAGAGCATTTTCTTGGGTCATGTCTAGGAATTTTTGGATGTCTTCCAGTTTCTGGAGGGGATTTGGGTAGGGAGGTCTGAGAAACAAAGGATCTCTTGTGAGAAGAGGGGATAGATGTTCTATGAACAGAGGAAAAGGAGGGTGTAGGAGAGGGTGTGGAAGGCGAAGATGGAGTAGAACTTTTAGGTTGTCTGGTGCAATTTAAATGGAAAAGAGATTTGACTGGGGGATAGGGAGTGTAGAGATAGGATGGTTCAGGGTAGAGGGAAGAAATACTAGGGGAATATAGAAACATTTTGTGGAAGGGGGGGGGGGGGTTACAGAGCAAAGGACTGTTTTGAAATAAGTAGAGAGAAAAACATAATCGTCGTTCTTCCTGTCTAGTCTCATGTAGAGTGAGGCCTAATTTGAATTTGAGAATTGCTATCTCATATTCGAGCTTATAAGCAGGGCAGCTCCTATAAAATACATTATAGGAGTCACCTCAGTTGGCACATATACATGACTGAGCAGGGTAATTTGAATGTTCATGACAAGTTGGGCACAGAGGGCAGCGGGTTGTGGAGTGAGTGTTTGGCTGGGTGTCCAAAACACCATTTCTGACATCAACGGGAAAGGGGTCGATATGGCCAGACATGGTAGGAAATTCCACCAGTATAAACTTCATGGGGGAGGTCATGTTTATGAAAGCTAATTTCGGCAATAATGACATGGGCCCTGCGCTGGCCTCTGGGAGGAATACTGTAGCATTGTACTGTTACTTCATCACAATCAGCAAGGCAGGTAAGTAGGTCATTTTCAGAGACTGTCCAGTTCTTGTCCTATATGGAACAATCAGTTGGGGGGTTTGAAACTATTCTAATACAAGTATTAAGAGAGAGGTGAGGTTCAGCAGAAATGGGTTTGTCAGTATGGTCAGTTAGGGTATATAATGCACGAGCTTGGGATTCTGATGCAACTGTGACTAGGCATGAACAATCAGAGCAACTGCGAAAGGTAAATTTGCCTACTTGATTTTGGAGGCACTGTTGAAAAAGGGTATTTTCAGAGTAGGGGGCTATGGGGAGAATTACAAAGAATCAATCAAACTTGGCTGGGCCAAAGAGTACTCCAAAGGTTTGCAGAGGTAGAGGCAGTAGAAAGATGAGGATGGGAAGATGATGGGGTGGCAGAGTAAAGTAGTTCTGCAAGGGGGAGGACAATAAGGATAAAGAGTAGTAATAAGGGAAGAGGGGGTAGCCACTGAAGAAGACTGTAGTAGGAAATTGAAAAGAGAATGTTGGGATAGAAAGGGTGAATTTTGGAGGTTGAATAGTAACCTGGGTGGGTGGTTCAGTATAGACAGTTGTCGGTAAACGTCGAGGAGGGAGAATTACTATCAGTGGTTGGAGCTGTGGTCAAAGGAGGGGCAGGGGTTGGAAAACCATCAAAATCGAATTCAGATAGGCTAGTTGATGAATAAACCTCAATGCCCCTATTAGGGGTAAAGAATCATGAGCCCTAATAAAATGGGGAAAAGAAACCATCTACCCCTCAGGGTCCCCATAGGAGGTAAGGGCTAGGCAATTAATTGAGGGGATGGAGAGCTCAGCCCCCAACACCCTTGACTAAAGGTCTTCACCTCCATATGCCCAAAAAAATCAGACTCTAGAGCACAAAGTGGTCTGAGTGCTAAAATTTGTGCAACTTTCTCCCTCCATTTGTGGCATTACATCTGCAGATTTCTTTAACCAACAACTGCAACTTTTTCATACTCTACAAGAATCTTAAATTTGCCCGAGCTTAGGCTGTCCATAAGTCCCAAATATCAACCCGGGCTTTTTCATTTTTATTTTTGGCAACAATAAGAAATTCACTCCCTTACCAAATCTTGCATTCCACAGGTACCGATATGAAGTGTTTAACTTTATATAAGATTCAGACCAGATCCTACCAAAGTTAACATAGCTTCCTTATAAATGGTTCAATACTGTATCCATTTCTGCTTACCTTCCAGCTGGCCTGGAAAAGCACTATTTTTATGTGCAGTGGTATATTCAGTCACAGGACTAACTTATCCAAATTCAATCTTAGGACATTTTTAACAATTATATACCATGAAGATACAGTTGTCATTATTGAGACCCTCAAATTCTCATGGGGAAACTCAAAAATTCAGGCAACCAAGTCAAGGTCTTATTACCAACCTCCAAATACTGTTTGTCAAAATTCTCAAAACCATTAGAACAAATCAAAGCATACAGTACTTAAATAAATCTGTTGTATACCCTAAGTGATGTTATTAACATTGGATTAGCAGACAATAAAAAAAATGTGAGTGCAGTTACAGGCTGTGATAAAAAAAATGTGGGGGGGGGGGGCATGCATTGTAACTACTCGCTTCCTCCAATGTCTATTTTCACACAAGTGGAATCCACGCAAGTGTATTATACGTACAAGTGGGAATTACAGAGAATGTTCATATCTAGTCAAAATCTGAGTCTGCAGCAGCGCTCTAAATTTAGTCAAACTAGCCAAAAAAAAATCTGCACACTACACAAAAACATGCAAGGGGATAGTAAAATATAAGTAACACACAAGGTTTTTATTGTCAAAAAGCATCTGGCACACCCTGGAATAATCATACTGCAGAAACGCAAGATACTTTTATTCCAGGTCTACACACCAAGACATACCCATTGCAGGAGGTTCACCGCAATGTGTAAAAAAATATATATATATATGCAACAGCAACATATATAAAAAGGTTTCACAGAATTGCAACAAAAGGGAACATGTGCAAAATGTGGCATGTACCAAAAAGGGGAATCCGTCCTGGCATTCCCTCATTTGGTGCACTGCCTCAAGGGATAAAGGGAGGTGGGGTTGAGGGACTCCAGCTATAGCACCTCCACTTTGCTCCACATACTTTGGTTGCTTTCCAGTCATGGAAGAGATTCCACTTATCCAATTCAGTACCTGGAAAATGAAGAGGAAGACTTATTAGTCTCAAGAACTTTTCAAATTACCAGACTAGGATAGGTGCTGCAGCTAATTGTCAATGGACAGCTACACCAACAAATTTCCCAAATTGGGAATCAATACAAAGGAGCATAAGCAAGTTTACATCAAAGTTATTTCTATTTTATAAAAGTACAAAACAAGTGTACAATTAATAAAATTTACAATTAATAAAGTGATCACGCAACCCTCAAAAAGTCAAGCCCTTTGGATCATTTTGGCCATTCCTTCATCACACGTGCCAATATGCAATTTCAGTCTACCATCTACCATAAGATTTCTTGCAAACTGGGGTCTTCAGTTACACTGAATCAAAACTTGAGGCTGATCAATCCTATTGCAGTTTAGATTTTCTTTTGAAACAAGATGCTATAGTATACTGCCATTTCCAATCTATATGTTTGGAAAAGCAATTTAGTACTGTGGCCTACTATCCATCAGTGAAATTTTTTGCAAATCTTTTACACAAAACACATTTATGCTGGTTGATAATTATGGCTTCAGTTATTTGTCACTTAACTGGTACCTTCAATCAAAAGTAATCAATTCTCCTTGAAATGTCATTAGGTAACAGTTATCCACTTAAATTAAATCAAGTTAATAAAACAGGTAATAACCCCATCAGAATACTAATCCTTACCCTATTAGCAGTTCACTCCTGCAATCCCTTCAATCTACCATACACCCAATCAAATTGGTTGTCAATGCCACACCTGAAAAGAAGACCTAGGTTATATATCCAAGCATGGAATTGGTGACGCAATTCATATTTCCAGGACCTTGTTGGTTGCAAGACGACAAGCAAGCCATAGAGACAAATTGCCGCTTCAGCAAACCTTGCTCTTTGCTCACTCTTATAAAAAATGAAATACAAGGATATCATTTCACGTAACTGAGTAAGCAACAGTTTAAATGCATGTATCAAGTTATCAATGCACATTATTAAAAAATAGAAGTTTCAACCCTTCAATATATTTAAATAGCAATAGTACATATTCAATTTAATTCCAAATCTTAACAGGAGTTGGAAAATAAACTTACCATTCTTTCCATGCAATGGAAGGAACATCTGAAACAAGAACAAACAAGCACTTAGTATGTTTATGTTTAATAAAACGGCTATTCCCCTCCAAATATCAATAAAAACTGTTGTTTGCGTAATGCTGCAAGACCATGATAATGCACAAGCCTTACCTTCTCTACAAACATTTGCTCTTTGCTTTGTCCTCAAAAAATGAAACAAAAGATTTCATTTTTAACAAGGGATTAAAGCAGTATTCCCAAATTGGATAACTACATATGATCAAATTACAATCTAGTCCTGTATAACCAAGCAACATTTACTTTAATGTTGGCTTTGTTTCAATAGGAATACAAAACCCTATAGACAAGGGCTGAAAATTTACAATAAATACCTTTCAATCACACGTCATCTTATTAAAACTCGCCTATTAATGCCTACAGACTCTGTAAAGAAACAAGGACAACGATTAATAAAATTCCCACAACTGCAGATTAGGATTTAACATTATTGCAGTCAGACGTTCCTAGCCATCATTGACCAAGGCCATCTGTTGGAAACCGCAGACGGAAAAAAAGGGAATCATCATTAACTATTAAAGTTAGAATAGTCAAGCTGACAATCCCAAGACCCACCTTAGTCTTACAGTTCACTTTTGGTTGTTCCAACTCCATTATTCAGGCAGTCGTCCATTTTGCTAATTGGCTTCAATAAATTTCTCATGGTCAACCTGGAAACTGGTCAGTAAGAAAAAAAAAGTCAATTAGAACCCCTTTATAAATTCAATGCCTTGGCATTTATACTAATTTTATTCAGACATTCCTAACCATCATTGACCATGGCCATCTGTTGGAAACCGCAGACGGAAAAAAAGGGAATCATCAGTTACTTTCCGCTTGCTCATCTATAGCAAAATGCTTTCAAATATAGGAGCAAGCAATGGTTTAATCAAAAGCTCACATCCACATCTACATATGGAACTATTTAACAATTTGGGCTCACCAATTCTAGCAATTACACACATGAATAAAAAATATTGTTCACCTTCACTATGACTTGTACACACCTCTTTCAGCTTAATCAGGTAGGCCGCACATTCTCTTCCAGGCAATCTGCGGATAGAATCACTTGTTACAGTATTCCCAAAAGCCAAGCCATCAATTACAAATTTATTATGTTATCAGACGTTCCTAACCATCATTGACCGAGGCCATCTGTTGGAAACCGCAGACGGAAAAAAAGGGAATCATCATTTACTAGATTAGAGTGTATGATGACAAACGAAACATACCTGGTCTTACAGTCCATCAATTAACTGATTCAACCCCTTTGGACAATCTGGAAAGAAAAAAGGAGCAATTAATCATAGAATCACAAACATGCCAACAAAGCTGTAGTTTTGACAAAAGTTTATTCCAATATTCTAGCATCTGCACCTATTATTGACAAGAATAATAAAAAATATATAGAGGCTTTTTTCTTAAACTAAGTTCACCCCCCCCCCCTAAAAAAAAAAATTACACATGATATGCATCTTGTCCTTAAAATAAAGCCAACATTCCCTTTTAGATCTATACACACCTTGTCTATGCCGAGATGTCCAGATGTCTTCTCCCACACCATCTGGGGACAGAACCAGAGATTTAGAATTCCTACTAGCCAAGTTCGTAAATTTTAGATTTATAATGCAATCAGACGTTCCTAGCCATCATTGACCGAGGCCATCTGTTGGAAACCGCAGACGGAAAAAAAGGGAATCATCATTAACCACTTCATTAGAATCTAAGACAAGGTTTGAAACTTACCTTTATCTTCAACGCATTTTGACATACTTCATTTGGGCAGTCGCCCATTTTGCCAACTTGCTTTCCACCTAGAAAGAAGGAAATACAATTAGAACAATTAATAAATTAACTGCCTTAACATTTACTCAAGTCTGTTCAGACGTTCCTAGCCATCATTGACCGAAGCCATCTGTTGGAAACCGCAGACGGAAAAAATGGGAATCATCATTAAACTAATCAAAAACCATACAGTACTAATGCCCAAACGCACCTTCACATTCAGGCCATGTCACCAATTTCCTTCAACCATTGGTTAAGTCTGAAAAGAAAGAATAAAATTACAACCCTTGCTAAATATCCCATCAGTTATTTGTTTTGTGAAGCTAAGCAGGTTATTCTATAAGTCATTTCCAAAATTCATGTCTCTTTTTCTAGCAAATATAGATTGAACAGCTATAAAGATGAGTGGCAGCATTAAACCAAGTGGGCATTTTTAATTCAGATTTATTTTCCCCCAGTTACCCCTATCTTTAAGGCACTTTCACCAGTAATGAGGAAGGGCATTGATGCTTCACTCAGAAAAGTCTGTACCTGTCAAGGCTATTCGCTTCTTCATGGCGATGTAGACGTCAGGAAAACGCTGCCTGCACAATTCGTCCTTCGAAGGCTCGGATAGGTGGAAGTCAGACAGTGCCAGATCAACATGTGGTAGGCGAGGCAGCACTGTCGAGCCAAACTCACATTCCTTGGTCTTCAAAACTTGCGTGGGCCGGCATTGCTGTGTTGCAAACAATGTTCCTCCTCTTTGGCCTTGAGCTTGGCCAACGCTTCAGAGCAAGTCAGAGCCGACGGTTGACCCTGGTTCTACGAAATCCATGAGGCTGATGCCCTTTCTGTCCCTGAAGAATGTACATCACTCTGCCTGCGGACGTCTGCATCTTCAGCTGCTTTGCTTCTCCTGACTGCCATTCTGTCAATCACTTTGCTCCTTTGTGCGCTTCCTTTTGACCCATCTGTCGCCCCCCGTGTAGCCTAGGGATGACAGCATCGTTTCCAGTGCACTGACGCCCACATCCAACTCTGCGCGCATTTCATTCACCGTTATCTCCCGATTGGCACGGATGATCTGATCGAGGCGCACTTCATTTTCCCGAGTGGTGGCCGTGCAAGGGCGTCCGGAGCGGGATTTGTCGCTCAGATCCCTGTCGCCACTCCGGAGTCGACGAACCCATCTCCTGACCGTGCTGACGTCAACCGCCTCGGCTCTGTAAACCCTCACCAGGCGCCGGTGGATGTCGATCGGTCCGACTCCTTCCGCGTGGAGGAATTCAATCACGCATCTCTGCTTCTGACGCGCGTCCATGAAAGGGGTCGCTCTCTCACGCGGCCATTCCGTCATCTAAAACAGAAATTTTTTTGGGTTATAAGTAGAAACATTAAGTAATAATTTTATACAATCTCCCTGGATCCCTTGGAATGGAAAGGGGGGGAGGGGAGGGGGGAACTAATTCAATTATTTCCAGTAATTCCGC